ATGCAGATGACAGGTTTAAGAAAATAAAGTAAAACAAAATGTCATGCTCCCAATCCAGGCTTCAGAAAAAGAACAGAAGAATTGACCCAATCACTTCAACAAATAAAGTGCACGGAAGAACCAGGGACGAAGGAAAGTTCACTGATGGGGAGACTCGGGAAACACAGGAGCTGACACCCCAGCACGCGCCTCGTTTGGGACCCGGTTTGAACAAACCGCAACAACAGAAGTGGCTAAATCAGGAAAATTATTACACTGACTTCACAGGCTGATATGAAGGAATTACTATACATTTTGTAGATGTGATCAAAGTATTGTAATTACATCTTTAAAACTGTTCTTATCTTTCACAGACATGTACTAAAACATCTGTGAATGAGCAGATGTGTCGCTTCAGAGAACCTGGACAAAGCACTGCTGGCCACGCCACGGTCAATGGATCCTCCCTGAAACTCTCTGGGGGGCACATGAGTGGCTCGGGCAATTACATTCTTCCCTCTACTTGTGTGCAGATTTGAAATTTGCCACAATACTAAGTTATTAATGTATGGTTCTACAGTACATTAAAAAAAGAAAAGCTTCGAAAACTTACCACCAAAAGGTGCTGGAAACTGAGCCATGGTTCTGCTCCTTTCACCTTGCTAATTGACGCCTGCAATTGAAACGCAACAGTTAGGTTCCTGAAAACTTCGCGCCTGCGCACTTACAAACACACTCACACACTGTGTCTTCAGTGATCAGTAGACTGACACCAGAGCTAGGGTCCAGCACTACACAGGAAAGTTACAATAAGGGGCCCAGTCATTCAATCACTCATTCTCTGCACAGTTTCTTAGTGCCAGTCGGCACTGGGAATGTTGATGGAAGACACTGTGGCAACAAGAAGCTTTCAGTCTGGTGAGTGATGCCATTAGCCCAGAACTGCCTATTATATCACCAATATTGCATTTGTTACTTTTAAATACAGTCATACCTCAGTACTTGTCAGCTTCAAAGTTTGTCAAACCCTGCACTTGTCACATTTCAACAAGAAAAAAATGTTTCGGCACTCAGCCCTTGCTCAGGATTCGTCACACTTGCTAGAACTTACAGGAGTCACAATACTGCCCCACCAGAGAACATGCTTCATCGTTGGGAGTGCATCAGTTCTGGCACACGTCACGAGTCCCGGAAGGAATTACTGACTGGTAACGGGGTCCCGCTGTGTACCTTTTCCTTCACCATCTGCACGTACTAGTCGATCTGTTTGGTGGTTAATGAGCACTAACAATTCGCTGCACAGGGTACCAGGTGATTGGCCTTATCTGTTTTCATGGTCATCAATCACAGCCCTGGAAGGCAGGTTCTACCATTGCCGTCCCCATAGTACAGATGAGGAACATGAGGATCAGAGAGGTGAGGTGGTCAGAGCAATACCACACGTTTGGTGGCCAAGTTGGATTTGAGCAAGGACAGCAAACTCTACGGCCCACATTCCCCCATGAAAAACCCTGTCTGCGTTGCAGCCCCATAAACAATCCGTATTGCACTGTCTGCCCAGAACATCCAACCCAAAACCTGGTCCTGGCAGGTGGGTCAGCTGACTGGAGAGTCATCCCAGGCACCAAGAGGCTGTGGGTTCAATCCCCACTCAGGGCACTAACAGGAGGCAACTGATTGGTGTTTCTCTCTCACACTGGTATTTCTATCTTTCTCTCCCTTCCGCTCTAAAATTAATAAACACATCCTCAGGTGAGGATTAAACACACACACGCCATCCCCCACCCCAAGTGCCACAAAACCCCCACCAGGTATTCTGTGTTCAGGTACAGCCAACGTGGAGCCAAGCCGGTCCTCTTCCTCAACTAAAAAGTCCACACTAACTAAATAGTTTTCCTTATACTTAACACAGTAAACGCGCAATAGTTAAAAATAAATACCACGCCCTGGCTGGCGAGGCTCAGTGCACTGAGTCCCGATCTGAGAACCGAAAGGGCAGCACTTTGATTCCTGGTCAGCGCACACGCCTGGGTTGCGGGCCAGGTCCCCATCTGGGGCGTGTGAGAGGCAACCAATCGATGTTTCTCTCCCTCTCTTTTTGCCTCCTTTCCCCTCTAAAAGTAAATAAAATCTCTTTTAAAAATGAATACCAAATAATCACAGATTTAAAATTTAGGGGCGGAGGAAGTATTGGGGGGAAAACGGAGACAACTGTACCTGAACAACAAAAAAATTTGTTTAAATAAATGTTAATACAAAAAATAAAGATAAAATAATATTTTGCTGTGCTTAGATTTTAAAAATGGCACTTCCTTGCCCTAATACTTCGTAATTTCATCTACCTATCTATCCATGAAATTGTTTTCCAACTACGATATTTTAAAATTTCCCAAAGCTTCCCTGTTCTCCACTCTCCGGTGCCGTCCCCACCCCCACCCACAGGCACAATGTCTTTTACTCTTCTGGTTCTTTTTTCCATTTTGCTCTTTAGCTTTTTGCCGTTCCTGGCATCACTTGATTCCTTTCCTGGTCTGTTGGCAGAGTGGGTCTCTCTCTCTCATTGGAGGCCTTCTTCCCCCCCCCCCCCCCCCGCGTAATCCCTGGGGACCCTTCACACCTAACAGAAGCAGCACTAAACAGGTGCTTGGATGCTGCGCCCAGGCGGCAGGTGTGCCGGCGGACCGGCTTCTCCGCACGGGGACCGGGCACACCCTGTCGCCTTCCACTGGAGGCCACCACACACCGGTATGCAGAGGGTTTCTCAGCGAAGCTGCTCAGTTTTGCCAGAGAGAAAAAGTCCGGGGGCGGGGGACCCGCCATGTGCAGCTGCTGGCTTCCAGGGTGGGGTGGGGAGAAGGGAGGTGACAGACATCACAAAAAGTACAGAGGACCCTAAAGAACATAAATGTGAAAATCCTTCACAAAATATTACACATGGAATCTCACTAATAAATAGGAACGATAATAAGACATTAATAGTGGGTTTACCTCAGAAGTGCAAGTTTAGTTTAACATTTGAAAATCACTTAATCTAATTTACCTTATTAACAGAAACAAGCAGGAAACCCAGGAGATCATTTCAATAAATGTGGGGGAAAAGCTCTTAACAAAAACCCTACAGCAGCAATAATGAAAATTCTCAGAGAACTAGGATTAATAAGAAACTTCCTCAAACGGCCACTTTCTCAAACGTGACATTTTGAAATGCTGAGATAATTGGAAAAAAACTTTTTTTTCACTTTCGAGTCTAAGCATTAGTATATTTAATATACTCCCATTCTTCTCACTTATGATCAGGTCACCAATTATATTTAGAGCTCACTTGACAACAAGCCTTTATGCTGCTCAGACAGACGCTCTCCCCAAAGTCCTGCTCCCTTGCCTGGGACCAGTGTCCCTTCCCATGGACAGCACAGTGCTGCAGTGATCCCACATGTCACACAACAGGCTCAGGTCAGTGGTTTTTATCTCCTCATGAAAGCCTTTAAATTCTCCTGAAAGAGCTGATTTTTAAGTCCTTATCTCACTCAAATGACGTCTCTTTTTTTATTGGTACAATAAGATTTTTTAATATGCAGAGAGGATGAATAAATTTTGTTTTATACAACATGAGAGCAACAAATCTTACTGTAAACACAAGAGCAATATTAGATACATTCCTTTACTGATTTTTTAAAAATGTGTCAATTAAAAAAAAAGCCCTGGCTGGTGTGGCTCAGTGGATTGAGTGGGGGCTGTGGACCAAAGGGTCACAGGTTTGATTCCCAGTCAGAGCACATGCCTGGGTTGTGGGCCAGGTCCCCAGTGGGGGACATGTGAGAGGCAACCGCACACTGATGTTTCTCTCCTTCTCTTTCTCCCTCCCTTCCCCTCTCCAAAATCTAATAAATAAAATATTTAAAGAAAATAAAACGTGTCAATAACTTCAGTGAACTCTTACGACCTGGGGAACATTTCCCTCCAATCACCACCTCAGAGCGTCTGTGAGAAGTCCGTGCCCTCATGTCAGTGTCAGAGCCACTGAGTGGAGGACTTTGTTTGGTCCCTGTCGCCTCCGGAGGATGAGCAGGACAAGGCGCACCCACTGCACACACAGTCCCCGCCCCACTTAACCTGTCAACTCGGCCCGCCCCGCCCCCCCACTGGGGGAGGAGACCTTTTCACCCTATTGAGTATGTTGCTTCTCCACCAGGAGATACTTCTTTGCATCATCTGCATTAATTAACATACTGGGCTTATCACAGCAGGGCAGAAAGAGCAACCATTTTAAGCGCCTTGTTCTTCAACAACTTTTAACTTCAGCTGCTTAAGAATTATCAAGCCACCACTGTCAACAAAACACCTTTTCCTATTAAATTGTTTTTCTTTATATAAATTTTTAAAGGATTATTTAATGAATAGTATTACCTGGAATCAAATTACATCTTAAAGGTCTACTCCCAGAATCAGAGGTAACGGCCTACGCTTCACCAAATGAAACAGTCGGCCTCAGGGAGGACTCAACTGGCACCATCTTGGCTACTGAGTTTACAGTGAACTCACAGAACTCGACAGCAAAATAACAAGTACTACAACTAAAAACAAGCAAAGGACCTGAATGGATATTTTTCAAAATAAGACATAGAAATGGCCAACAGGTCCATGAAAAGATGTTGAACATCACTAATACAAAACCACAGTGAGATGTCACCTCACAGCTGTTTGGATGGCTATTATCAAAAGGACAAGAGGCAGCAGCTCCCTCGCCACCAGGTGAGGACACAGTGAGAAGGCAGCCACCTCTAAGCCAGGAGGAGGGCTCTCACCAGGACCCATTTGTGATGGCAACCTGACCTTGGACTTCCAGCCTCCAGAACTATGGGAAATAAATCAATGTTTGTTAAGTTCGTTTTAAAAAGGCAAGAGATAACAAATGCAAGAATGTGGAGTGAAGAAAACCCCTGTGCATTATTGGAGGGAATGTAAATTGGTACAATCACAATGGAAACCAGCATGGAAGTTCCTCAAAAAATGAAAACAGACAGCATGTTTCCAAGGACTGTACTGGTTGAAGCCACGGGATCTCCAACAGCACGAGAGAGGCCTCCTGGAGAGACCCTGACAGCTCAGGGCGGCGGAACACCTGCGGTGGCCACTTGCCTTTCCTATACTTTAAAGGACAAGGAGCCCTGGCCGGTGTGACTTGACTGGAGTGCCATCCAGTACACCAAAGAGTTAAGGGTTCAACCCCAAGTCAGGTCACATATGGGAAGCAACCAATCAATGTTTCTCACATTGATATGTCTCTCTCTCTCTCTCTAATCTATAAACATTAAAAAAATGAAAACAGAACTACCATACTATCCAGCAGTCTCACTGCTGAGTATGTATCCAAAGGAAACGAAATCTCTGTTCGAAGAGGTGAATGAACTCCCGTGTTCACTGCAGCACCAGTCACAACAGCCAAGACGTGGAAACAACTAAGTGTGTGTTAACGGATAGACATGTAAAGAAAACGTGGCATACACATGCAACGTGGCCAATAGGAAAGGAACAAAATGCTGCTTTTTGTGACACGGATGAATCCAGAGGACGTTTTGCTAAATAAGCCAGATGCAGAAAGATAAATACTATATAATTTCACTTACATGTGGAATATAAAAAAGTTGAACTTGTAGAACCAGAAAGTAAAATAGTATTTGCCAGGGGCTGAGGGTGGAGGGAATGAGGAGAGGCTGCTCCTAAGAGAGAAACGTTCAGCTGTAAGAGGAGTAAGTTCTGGTGACCTCATGGACAGCATGGTGACGACAGTTAATACTACTATGCCATATACTTGAAACTGGCTTAGGAGACGAGATCTTAAGTGATCTCACCAGACACACACACACACACACACACACACACACACACACACACACACAAACTATGTGAGGTGTGGATGTGTGAAGTAGCTTGATCGCGGTAATCATTTCACAATGTGCACATATAGTAAGTCATCACGCTGTGCAACCTACATATATACAGCTTCTGTCGATTACACGTCAATAATGCCGGGGAACAAAAGGAGTTTACAAATCAACAGGGGATAGAAATACTCATCAAGAATCTCTGCACGTGTGTGTCTACATGTGTACCCAGAGAGCCATAGCACCAAATAATGTAAATATGTAAGCAACAAATCATAAAAACTTTATTAAATGCTAATACATTTGAGCTATAGTAGCCAATTCAACCCTACTAACAAACCTATGAGCTAAATAATGTTACTCTTGTATCTTACAGATGCGGAAGCTAAGGCACCAGCTGGCACAGTCACTGAATGGTAGAAGAGGATGTCAGTGTTTCAGGGTTAAGAACTCCACGGAACACTCATGAAATAGTCAGCCTGGTAAACCAACCAGGGTGGAGCTGGGGGTCGGGGGAGTGAGAGGATACTGTTCCCAGCAATAAAAGCCCTGGAAAACAAAGGAGAAAAAGAGAACCAAGTTTGTTTGTTTGAAGTGCCACAGCAGACCACAGAGGAAGTTGAATGGGGGAAATAAGCTTGAGCATTTTGCCATGTAAGTCCCAAGAGCTTTTACTTCTTATACAAAAAAAGGCAAAGCTTCCTTAAGTAAGCAATTATCAAATGAAGTTGGAAGTCATAGATATATGCAGGGCACGTGCACATGGAACGGAAAGCCCAGAGCAGTAAAAAGAAAAGAATAAAACAAAAATGAAGGGAGTGAAGGCAGAAGTTCCACCCCGGTGACAGGACTTCAACAGGGCGAGGTAGCCCCTACACTAAATCAGAGACACAGGAACCTGCCTAGGGCAGAGCAGAGAAGGGCACTCCATCCAGGGCCCTGGCCCAGCTGCCTGGGAAGCAGCAGGGAGGCAGGACCACCGCCCCAGGAGGGTGGAAAGAGCAGCAGCAATGAGCTGAGGCAACGCTCCAGGGAGGGGGCCCGTGGGGGAGCTAATTTGGAGTTCTTACAGGCAGAGAAGGCAGCCAGCCACCAGCTTGGTATTTAAATTTCCTTTTAGTCTTTTCCCTATAAATATACAATTGTGTCCCTCTTTTGCACACTTCATGCTATAATACATACTTTCCCCAACTTCTTAAAACCTTTCATAAACATTAATTTTTAGAGTAGGGCAAATACTTCTCTATTTATATATTTTAAAAAATACAGAAAAACACACATACTAAATACTGAGCAATAAAGAGACAGGAAAATAGTAGTACTTTTTAAATGTCTGGATAAATGTTAGGAGCTTTAAGCCAAAAGCTAGAATATGTCTCAGAAGTCTTTAATCTTCCTTCACATCAGTCTCAGAAAGAAGAGCTAAATACAGAAAACTAAAGCAATGTTGATACTTAATTTCAGCACTTACATTAAAATCCCAAATGTTGATATATTTAAAGACCTCTAAAAATGTATATTTATAAATTAGGAACACCATCCTAAAAACAGTGTTTATTAAAATATCATTTTCCATGATAAAAACTATGTTGAAACAAACCTCCTGATTTCTCATATTTTGCTATCGTAAAGGAAGATTATTTCAAAAAAAAAAAAAGAAATGAGATCCAAAAAACCAAAATAAAACCAATACATGTATAGTCAGTATCTAGCATATAACAAATAATGAATTTAGCAATTAAGGGGAAAATTTATCATGAAGATGAAAACTTCTAAACTCTAAACTACTGCCATAATTTAAAACTTTTAACTTTATATTAAGTAATTAAACTATTTGGAACATCTTTAAAAACAGGTATATCATACTAATTCTTTTAAATTTCCTATAGTTTTGAAGTTTTTCTAATTTTTTTAATCAAGGGGAAAGGCATATATAAAACAAGTACACAAGACGAAATAAGGGAATTCAAAAATATAATCACTTAAAGAAAAAAAGAATCTTCACAACTAGGCAATTCAAAAAGTTAGCAGGTTTCTAATACACCAAAACAGGGCTAGTTTAGGACTGGACCTAAACTAGGACCTAAAAAACAAGAGATTGTGAACGTCATTTAATCATTGGACTGTCCACACCCCACAGGCCTGTGTTGCTGGACGTAGAACGCTTGGTCTCAACATTTAGAACGTGCTCCTGGCAGAAAAGGTGTTTTGTCCATACACCCAGATCACACTCTCCCAATATTCAGACTAATGTATTTATTTGAAATAGATTCTTATGGTACTACGGTACTAAACTTTAAATTCACTTCTTATAAATATTTTTTTAAATTTTATTTTAAAGTTGCTCACAAGGTTTAGTTTGAGGTTAAAGGGCCTAGAGAACAGGAAGACACAGACTAGAAAAACTTAAGTTTCTAGAAATTTGACATCAATAAAACACTGAGGAGAAAGAAAGGAACAGAAATGTGAAAACGAGAAGAAAATAAAAATACAAGTATGCATATATTATAAGCATCCTAAAAGATATAAAAATGTCCTCAGGAACACCAAAATAAAGCACAGTCTAGTCAAATCATGATACAGTCTGATGTTTCAGAGCTGCGAGAGCCTGGATTCAGGTGTTATTCTACCTATTACACCTCTGATCTAGAACAAAAAAATTAAAAATCACCGAAAACCCCACTACTGTCCCCATAGCTTCTCCTTTTGGAGGCCTCTATGCCTCTAAAAATTCAAAATTAGAAAATCTTAAAAAGATGGAAGGAAATCTCTTATTTCAGAAGACGTCTGAAGGGAACAGAAGCAAGCAAAAGTCCCGCGAGGGGCACACAAGGGTGGGACGCACACGACACCCTTCTGAAACACAAACGGCGCTGAAAGCCAAGCAGCGCGTGGCCGGAGGAACTGATGAATCCAAACACACACTCACCTGGCCAATGTCGAACGGCCACGTCTGAAGTCACTGGCCCCAGCGGCTTCTACGCACGCTGCTGTGAGAAGTGGGACACCGTGACCTGCGAGGGATGTGCAGCCTGTTCGTAAGTGAGACTGTTAAATGGCAGGAAGGGTAAAGAACTCAAAAAGAGAGAGAACCTTGTGACTAAGTTCGAAGACACTGTCAATGTTCTGTCTGAAAAACTAATGAACAACTACATTCAAACTGTCCTCAAAAGAAGAGAACAGGCATTCCTCCCAGATTTGGGTTGCTGGGGGAGGGGGGTGGCAGGGGACAGAGGAGAGGAGGAGCCCAGTCAGGAATGACCAGTGGTTGAGCAGTCACTGTCAGGCCCAGCCATCAGCACGTCACTTGGCAACACTCAGTGGCATTTCAGAGGACTTGTCCATTTACTCCTGCTTACTTTCCACAAAGACAAATGCCAGAATGTCTATTTCTACGGCTCAGTATGCAGATTTTAACTTCAGTTACTATTTGCAATAGGAAAGAGACTTCCTCAGAGAGCGGTAACAGTAAAACATAGTTACGAAGCTGAAAAATCAGGAACAAAAAACCAAAAAGATAGGGAAAGAAATTTCTGCTTTAAAGAGATAAATGGAAATTAACCAGCCCCTCTTTGAAGCTTATTTCCTTCGACTAACTGCACAGTAACACCTGAAAGTCACTAACTAGATTTGCCTAACTCACTTAAGCAGTCACATTCTAACATACTACAGCTGCAGGTGGGATAATCATTCCTAAGATTCAATAAAACAAATGGGAGATTTTATTTCTTCTGGAAGGTTCCATTTTCAAGAAGGTTATTAAGAATAAAACATTATTGCAAGTACTAAAAGCTGAAAAGTAATTCCTGGAAAGTGCAGATAACCCCAAACCAAGTACAAAAACAACAACTTTATGAATCTCTGAGTGGGACATGGGCGTTTCAGATCAAATTTTTTTAAATATAAAACATGGAATTTAAAAATTATCAGCCAAATTAACGATGAAATGGTATAAACTTAACCTATTTCAGTTCACAGACTTCCAGTACCTTCTCAAATAGAAAGTTTTAAGTGATCAAAAAGTTAAAATTTCGCCGGCAACTGAAAGCACTTAGTTTGTCACACACACACATACACAGTGTCCTGAACTGGGCGAGGGGAGAACTTACGTCAGCTGTGTCATGTGGATTTGCATGGCCACTAAAAAGAGAGATGACCTGAAGATTTTCTTCCAAATAAAAACTGGATTTTTAAAAATGATTTGGATACTCCTTTTAAAAATATTTTATTTATCCATTTCCAGAGAGAGAGGGGAAGGGAGGGAGAG